CGCTGGAAAAGGATGTCATGTTTGGTAGGGTGGAGGATCAGAGAAAAAGGAAGACCCCAAGAGGATGGATTGGCCAAGTTGCAGCATCGACAGGCTCAAGAGTGGCAATGATAGTGAGGTTGGCCCAAGATCGGGCATTGTTTCATTCTGCTGTGCATAAGGTCACTATGAGTCGGTACCAATTCCATTGCATATAACAAAAACAACAACAATTAAAGAATTGATCAATTTGAGTTATGGTGTTGGAGAACAACATTGATACTACTGTGAACTTACAGAAGAACACACAAATTTGTGTTGGAAGAAATACAGCCATAATGCCTGTTAGAAGCCAGGCTGACCAGACTTTGACTCTCATACCTCACACATGTTATCAGGAAGGAACAGTCCCTGGATAAGGACTTTATGCTTGATACAGTGGAGGGCCAGTGAAAAAGAGGAAGACCTCCAACATGTTGGATTGGCACAGTTGCAGTAGTAAAGTACGTAAGGTGTAAGGTTGTTACAGGACTGGGCACTATTTTATTCTGTTATACTGAGGGTCTTTATGAATCAGAACTGACTTGATGGTACCCAGCAACAAGAACAATAGAGATGAATTTTGGTCTCTTTCATTTTTCTCTTTTTCAAATTTATGAATTTCTGTTCTTCCTATGTCTTTCCTCTTGCTCATATTTTTAATGTTGTTGTTATCTTTTGTCAAAGATTGCTATGCTAATTAGAATTCTTCCTTGGTTTCTAGGGTAAGTGTAATGTCAATAAATTTCTTTTAGAACAAGGCCTGAACTACATACTAGTTTTTGAGAAATCTAATTTTTATTTCATTGAAACAAAATGTATTGTAATGTCCTTGTAATTGTCTTGTTGATTCATGAATTTTTTTAGAAATACACTGCTAATACTAATATAATATCTTTCCCACCTATGGAAAATTTTTTATATTATTAAACATATTTTCTATTACTTTTATCAATTACTAATAGAGGGATGTACAGATATTCAGTATTAATTAATATTTATATATTTCTCCTTTAAATTCTAATAGTGTGTGTTCCATGCATTTTAAAATTCAAATGCTAGATATATACACATTTCAAACTGTCATCTTATTGAATGATTAATTTCTTTATCATGATTTCCTGTTGTTAAGTGCCTTTGTGTAAATTCTGACACACTGTAGCCTTGTATAGGATGTTGAATTAGCTGCTGATGTATTTGAACTGCCTATCTTATTGTTTGAAGTCCAGAGCTGATCCTACAGAACCAGACTAGGAATCTTATGATGATTCACAGCTCCTTTTATCCTTGCATATGCCTTTGTCTGGTCTACTTCAGTGTTCTAGCAGTCCAGTATCTAACTGTGATCCTAGTCAATGCCTTGAAAATTTATAAAGGATAACTTCAATATAAAGTCATCAAAACATAGCTTAAGGTGCTGTGAATTCAAGTTGCATAACTCCATAACACAAAATGTTGTCTACATTGCATTTTTGTAAATTAGTATTTTAGATGATTTTTTATTATTTATTTAAACTATACTCTGCTTTCAAACTGTTCTGCTAGGAACATATCAGTTCTCTGTGCATTAAATATTTGGATACGTTCTTAGAAATGGAGATCTCAATATTTATTGGTTTCATGTCAACCTCACGCTTTAGAATTGACTCAAAGGAACAATGTTTCCATTTCCATGTTCTGATGATTTTGTTGTAGTAGAGTCACAGGGTAGTGACTACAGGTAGGAAGGGAATGAATTTCCTGAAAAAAAAAAAAGTAAATTTTCACTGTCAAGGACTCTTCAAACAGAAATAAAGAAATGAGAACTTGGCATAAGAAGGACAGAGTTGAAATTTTTGGGGGGTCATTTTTCTGGACCTAAGCATAGGGGGATAATGACATGTTCAATGCAAGGTTGTTCCCCATAGTTAGGGAATAAAGATACACCAGGAAATAACACAACGGCACCGAACAATAGCAGAAATGAACTATGATGAATAAAGAATTCTGAAAAAGTAGGGTACTTTCTCAGATCTTGGAGAAATTTCATAGAGTAGCCAGTTAGAAGTTGTTGTTGTTGTTAATTGACATCTTAAATATATTTTTCCTTATGTCTAAAATATATTTAGCCTTACGTCTAATCTCAGTAAATATCACCACTCCTCTCAGTATCTAGGAGCTCAGAGGGTGCAGTGCTTAAGTGGTCTTCTGCATTAATGAAAGGTCAGCAGTTTAAACCCATCAATTGCTCTGTGTGGAAAAGGTGTAACAATCAACTTTCTTACAGATTATGGATGTGGAAAGCCTCTGGAACAGTTTTACTCTTCCCTACAGAATTGCTAGGAGTTGCAGTTGATGGCAATACATCTTTTCAATCTCAGCATCAGTACAATAATTTAGATTGTGGTGTTGGCAAGGAATATTGAATATACCATAGATGGCCTGAACAATTCATCTTGAAGAAAATGCACCATAATGTTTCTTAGAAGGAAAGATCGATAGACTTTGTCTAACTTACTTTGGACATATCATGAGCAAACATCAATCTCTAGAAAAGAGCATTGGGTTTGGTAAAGTAAACTGTAAGCCCAAATAAATAAATAAATGAATAAGGGAAACATTCCATGGTGTCTTCAACTAAGGCTCAGGGATACCAAAGACTGTGAGATGACACAGGATTAGGCAATATTTCATTCTCTTATACATGCAGATGCTACAGGTGGGAGCTAATTTGGCAGCAATCTATGAACTAAACACAAAATGTTAGTATTGAGTTCCTTGGTAGATGCAAATGTTTAATGTGCTCAGCTTATAACCAGAAGGTTGGGTGTTGTTTTCTCTCAGAGATGCTTCAAAGAAATGTCTGGTGATCTGCTTCCAAAAATTAGCCAATACCTTATAGGGATCAGTTTCACTCTGAAATCTATGTGGTTGCAGAAGTTGAAATGCATTCAACAATTGGTATGAATCAGTCTCAATATGGAGTCCTGTTGTGACTTTATAGCATAAGCACAGGACTGCAGAGTGGTTTTGAACTACAGGGTCAAAATGAGTCAGAACTTAACAACAGTAACAACCACAGTCTCAGCATATATTCTGTAGTTTCTGAATCGATCTAATCAGTTTATATGATTGTTGTTGTTGTTGTTGTTGTTGTTATGTGCCATGGAGTCAATTCTGACTCAAAGCAACCCTGTATAGGGTTTCTGAGCCTGTAACCTTAACTGAAGCACAAAGCCTCATCTTTCTCCCATGGAACAGCTGGTAGTTTCGAAGTGCTGACCCTGAGGAGACCAGCCCAATTCGTAACCACTATGCTACCAGAGCTCTTTAATCAATTTTATGATTGGACAATATAAAAGAAAAACTTTAACAATAGCATCACAATCTATGTTGTTTCATAGATGGCATGTCCAAGAGATTGAAAGGTCTGGGTGTGAAAGAGCACAGAAGGCAAGTAAAGAAACCTTTGGGAAGACCTCGCCAGGGATTACAGAATGGGGAATTAACTTCCAAAGACTGCTGAGCAATAACAATAATCACTGTGAGGCTGTTGCAAACCATATTGTTAAGGGGACATCAATATTGCAGTAAGTAAAAACAAGTTACACAAATACTAACCATAGAAATATACAAGCATCAACGGACATTTAGTATGTGTCAATTTCAAAATAATTCTATACACATCTAGATGATACAATTAATCTGCATTTGGAGATTCTACGTTAGAAGAATAATTGGTGCCTTATTTGAAAATATTCTGGCACATAGACATTATTAACTAACAGCAAGACTTTTTTTTCTAGAACTATAACAGAAATACGAACTATCATCCAACTATTTGGATGGACTAGTTATTTTAATAGAAATACGGAGTCGTTATTTTCAGTTTTACTCAATGATAAAAATGTATTTTATTAATTAACCCAAGTCTCTCAAATAACTTTTTCATTGCTTCTTTTACATCTTTATTCCTCAAACTGTAGATGATGGGATTCAACATGGGAATCACAATGGTGTAAAATACAGACACTATCATGTTATGTTCCAAACCATTGCTCGAATTTGGTCTAACATACATGAAGAGGATTGTTCCATGATAAATTGATACTCCTGTTAGGTGAGAGCCACAGGTGGAAAATACTTTCCGCCTCCCTTCAGCAGAATGCATCCTAAGAATGGCCATTAAAATGAAACCATAGGATATCAAGACAATCAAGATAGTAAGCAGTTCAATAGAACCCACAAAGTAGAAGAGTAAAAGTTGGTTGATGTGAGTGTCAGAGCAGGAAATAGCAAGGAGTGGAGGGATATCACAAAATACATGTTTAATTTCATTGGATGCACAGAAGGAGAGGCTAAATGTTGCTACTGTGTGTAAAGTAGCATGCAGAAAACCAGAAACAAATGAGGCAGTGATGAGTGGCACATAGACTCTGGGTGACATGTTTACTGAATATAGAAGTGGGTTATAGATTGCTACATAGCGATCATATGCCATTGCCGCCAAAAGAATGCTTTCCGTGGTCCCAAAAGTGACAAAGAGCAGCATCTGTGCAGCACAACCAAAGAAAGAAATGTCTTTATTCTCTGCCAGGAAATTAACCAACATTTTGGGAGTTACAACTGAAGAATAACAGGCATCTAAGGAAGATAATGAACTCAGAAAATAGTACATGGGATTGTGGAGTCTGGAATCTATCACGACTAGCAAAACAAGTCCCAAATTTCCTACCAGAGTAAAAATATAGATTGCAAGAAATAGCAAAAAGAGATAAATTTGCAGCTCAGGATCATTTGTGAATCCCAGCAATGTAAACATGGTGACTTCAGAAGTATTCTTCAACCGAATCCTATATGAATCCATTGTTGAGGACAACATTGGCATTTCTGCTGATTTTTATGGGTCTTAACTCCAATGTCCTGATATCCTGTGAAAAAAAAGAGTACACCCAATTACATTTTCAACATTGATTTTCAGAAATGGGTAATAACATCCCAGGCAGTGATGAGATGTTGTTTTTGTTAACTGACACTATGTACAATGTGATTAGACCATTGGGAGGCATAGAGTTTCCATTGTCAGATTTTCAGAAGTAGGTGCTAGAATTTAGTTCCTAGTGGTATTAATCAGTAAGCTCCACTGATATCTATTTAGCATCACAGCAAAACACAAACCTCCAATGACAAATGGATAGTGGCTACACTTAGGGTATATTGGCCAGGAATCAAACCTGGGTTTCCCATTTGGATGGTAAGACTCTACCACTGAACCAATAATTCCCTCTAGAGATAGGAAGTCAAGTCATTTCCAACTCAAAGTGACATTTATTGAGTGTTCTAGGAGTGGTTGACGGGTTAGAATTGCTGATCTTACGCAGTTTAAAGAGACCTTGTGATCCTTTACTTCTCCTATAGAGCCACACCAGATTTTCTGAAATGGGATAGGCTATGACAAAGTAGCTGAGTCCATGTGACTGTAATTTCCTTTGTAAATAAAAGGAAGAAATGGTTTTACTTGTTGACTAAACTTGTCATGTTAGAAGAAACAAATAAGCAAGCAAACCAAATCAAAACAACAACTAAAAACTGTCATAATTTCCAAAGAACAACAAATAGAAAAATTGTAAGTCTAAAAACATTATAATTACAAATACACACTTCCTGAATATACATAAACATCTTCTCTTAAGGTTCACTACTGTAAAATGAGAATAATGTATTTACCTCAAAAGGTTGAATTGAAGTTAAATAACAAAAGTCTGTGAAAAAGATTTAATTTTAAAAATATTATCCAATGATGAGAATAGGTTCCTTTACTTACATTTCATGTTAAAATAGAAGGTAGTCTTTGTTGATCCAACACGTTTATAGGCTAGTCCTATTAATTATCCCATTGGATTGTCATTTCTAGATCAGTGGGAAGCAGGGCAGGAGATGGTAGTCAGAAGATAGAAGAACCTTAATTACAAACAAAAAAAGGACTCTCAGTTTTAAGTGGTTGTTCTTTTCAACATATATTATTAAATAGTCCATTTTTACATTTGCAACTTATTGTATCATTATTGTAGCTTGTAAAGTTTTAACTTAATGACAATTTTAAGATTCCTTATTCATAAGGAATTTTGGTAATATAGTGAAAATTGGTTGCTAACCTAAACATCAGCAGTTAGTATTCACCAACTGCTACATGGAACAAAAATGTACCAGTGTGGTTCCTCAAAAATTTCAGTCTGGAAAACCCTATGAACAGATCTACCCTCTAGGTTACAGGCAGAACTGATTTGACTGCAATAAGTTTGGGTTGGGGATATTGTCTATTGTTATGTTTATTTTCTCTAAATAACTCCTCAAAGATTCATGTGGAAGATTTTCTAATATCTAAAGTTAATTGCTTCGTAACTATAGGGCTACTGAACAAACTTTTTGGATCTTTAGAGAGCTCTAATATGAAAAATATAATTAAATAAAATTGCTAGTTTCTTCTAAGTTCAGGTAATTTGTATATGATAATTGATAATATATGTACAAACATCTTATCATAACTGTATATAATTATGCATTAACAGTTATATTAATAAATAAATATTTAATAAAATATATTAATGTATTCTCTGAAATTCATAAAAATCACAATTCATAAAATATACTGTATTCTTTGGGATTCATAAAAATAACTTGAGAAGCATCTTTTAAGGTGTCAAACAATCTAGTGATAGTATGATCTTGGAAAAATAACACTGTCCTCTTTAGTGACAAACAGTTAAGGTTAAAAAATACATCAGACATGTCTTGTTCAGCAATTATAGGAGCATAGTACTGGTGTGGAATGCTCATTTACGTGAGGCATTTTAAAATATCTTATTAACTTAAAGTTTTAATTATATGTGAAAATGTAAGCAATTTACATAACTCATATATTATTATGTAAAACAATATAAATTTACAAATTCCATAGCAGTGACTAAGCCCCAAAGCAGACTCTAAATTATTTTCTTTTATTTATTTGTATTTGTTTTATAACACAAATAAACGAAACACAAAAGATGTTGCCACTGAGTCGATTCCGACACATAGTGACCCTATGAAATAGAATAGACCAGGTACATGGGATTTCCTTGGTGTGATCTTTATGGAAGCCAATTGGCACATCTTTCTCCTTTAGAGAAGTTTTCCTCCAATCTTTTGGTTAGCAATATAGCACTATGTGCTGCATAACCATGGCTCCTATATAATCTGTTTATACTGAAGGACCTCTCTACTGAAATTAGATCCAGTGAATCCTGAGATTCAATGTTGAAAAGGACCATAGAAATGCATTTCTATAACAGTATTCCACTTTTGGACTAGTTAGTAAAATAATTGTGTGTCTTGCTTAAATTCTCCTGATAAACTTGCTGATATAATTTTCAGGCACTCTTGAAGATTCTCATCTTTTCTGTAAAGCAAAACTGTGAATTATGACTGCATGTATCTTTTATGCCTTAACAGGTCTTATTAGAGCAATTAACTACTTTGATATAGGGAACTAGAGATGGCATAGAGAAAAACTAAGAGGTTTCAGGACTTCATTCAAGCTTTTTCAAATAGGCATTTCTGTTATCAAAGTTTTAAGGAAATCAGAACTGGCCTTAACAAACAAAACTTAGTTCCTCAACTCTCATACAGTCAGAAAATGTAAAGTTCTTGAGAAAAGCAGTATAAATACTATGTTTGAGAAGAAAGCTATGACACCAGTTATCACATATTATTAAATGGATGCTAAACCATAAAACCAAACATGAGTTAATTCAGACTCATAAGTTCTCAAAAAGACAGAGCAGATCTGAACCATAAAGTGATCATGACTATAATCTTGGTTGAAGCAGACTCCCTCATTTTTCTCCCATGAAGTGTGTGGAGGGTTCAAATTGTGGATCTTTAAGTTAGTAGCTGAGCATTACACCAGACCTTCTGAATGGCTCCTAGGACTAGGAATATTGTGTACATCAACATATGTAAACTACAGAGCAAATTTAACTCAAAATATTCTATATTATGCCACACACACAAGGAATCCTGGTTTGGCACTGTGGGCTAATGCTTCAGACAGCAAAGTCATTTGAACTACAAGGTGAGTGGTGCAAGCTCACCAGCTGCTCCTTGGAAACCCTATACAGGGTCACTATGGGTCAGATCAAACTCAATGGCACTTAACACCAACAATACATGAGAAATTTGAGGCCAGTTAGACAGATAACTTGAGAAAATCATACAGGTAGTTACTAGCAGAGAAAGAATTCGAGCCTAGAGTTCTCTGAGTCCCCAGTCTATTATATCCTGGTGTACGTAGCCTGTGGATAAATGTGCCAGACTGCAAAGTCCTTTGAACTGTAAGGTCGGTGGTTCAAGCTCACCAGCTGCTCCTAAGAAACCCTATACAGGCTCGCTATGGGTCAGAATCAACTCGAGGGCACTTAACAGCAACAAATACTGCAATTTGGAGCCCTGGGTTAATGAGCTGGACTGCAACATCAGTCTGAACCTCAAAGTCGGAGGGTCAAGCTCACCATAAGCTTCTTGGAAACCCTATACAGAGTTGCTGTGAATCAGAACCAACTCCATGGCACTTATACAAGAATAGCATACTGCAATTCCTAGGAATGAGGGCATTCTGTAATCATCATTCCTTAGAAAAACTGCAAAATAGTCTCTTCATCTAGTTTAATTCTTTAAACAATTGATGGAGACTAATGGACCATGAAATTGAAAATCAGATCTAAAATATCTTCTTGAATAAATTAATTTTTAAATTAATTAATATTCCTTCAATAGAAAGCAATTATGGTCCTGAAATAGATAGAATAAATTCAAAGAGTGGCTGAAATCTTATTTTCTCTTCATTAAAAAAATTTCTCAATTTTAAAACAGAGCCTCTTAATTGTACTGCTCCTATTCTGTTTATCATTAATCAAAACACTTAAAGCAAATTTCTGACTTACACCCCTATTGACCAAAACATGTAAGGTGTCCTTTCTGTTTTCTGTACTATGTTCCTGAGGACCATGTGTGATTCACAAGTCTTAATGAACTCGAATCATCTATTTCAAACCTGGATATTAAAGTATAAGGTCTAGTTTGAGATTCAAGTTTCTAGCTTCCAAATATGTTCTAAGTGATGAAACACTATTTTCTCTTACCTGTGTAACTGAACTGATCACTAATTTAAGGTTTGCTCTCAATGTTATGTGTTTGGATTTTTATATCAGTTTATTAGGTCTCCTGTAGTCCATAGGGGTCCCCAAGGAAAAAATCATATTAACTCTCTTTGGAACAGAAAAGAAACAAGACTTTTTATCCACTGCAGTGAAGAAGATAATAGGTCTGGAACAATAAACTACATGATAAAAAATAATTAAATGAACCACTTTGCCTCTAGAAAAATGATTCATCAGAGGAAAAACAATATTTTATGGTATAGGATTGAAAACAAATCAAATGATACAATGATACAGGACATAGTTTTTACTCTTAGGCTAACTGGTTCTTGGTAATTTGGTTAATAAAACATATTCTCTAAAGTACCATTTCCTTCTTGCAGTAGTATAACCTATTGAATTTCCTCAATTTAAAAATTTTCAAATTAAATACACACACATATATGTGTGTGTGTGTGTGTGTGTGTATGTATGCTTATGCATATATATATAAATGTACTCACATATTGTTGTTAAGTGCCATTGAGTCAATCCAACCAACAGCGACCCTGTATAGAGTTTCCAAGGAGCAGCTACTAAGTTTGAATCATTGACCTTGCAGTTCAAATGACTTTGCATTAACCCACAGTGCCAAACCAGGACTCCTATGTCTATTATATACATATATACAATGTAGGTGGTTCAAGTTCAA